TCCACCCGACTGTCCTCCCCACAGACGGTGAAGCAGATGTGGCCGTTCATCTGCCAGTTCGTGGACAAGCTGTTCAGAGAAACCATCGAGCCGGCGGTGAAGAACGCCAACCCTTACCTCAGCTCCTTCTGCTTCAGCAAGATCGACATGGGCAACAAGGTGACGACAGCAGTACGGGGGGAGGGGGAGGGGCAGGAGGAGGTGGGGGCTACACACGAACACACACGTTTTGTCTCTGCTCACTGGTCTGGTCTCATTGCAGCCCCTGAGGGTCAACGGGGTCAAAGTTTATACTGAGAACGTGGACAAGAGGCAGGTGATCATGGACCTTCAAATCAGGTATCAGTGTTGCCTTCGCCCGCCACTGCTAATGTCACATGGTCCACGGAGACGCAGGCGCTGCTGGTCCGCTGCTGGTCCGCTGCTGCCTCCTGTGGTCAGTAGTTGTTGACCGTGGCGCTGCAGACCCATGGATTCAGTCTGAAGTCTCCCGTCTCTCTGTTTACTCCTAGCTTTGTGGGGAACACGGAGATCGACATAGACATCAAGAACTTCTACTGCAGGGCTGGAATCAAAAGTATCCAGGTGTGTACTCAGTGATCCGCTCCAGGGCCGACGCTAACGTTAGCTCCTGGGCTACAGACACACAGACAGACATACGCTGCTGGTTACAGACACACAGTAGCCCACCAGATAAGTCATTGATCGCTAGCGGTGTGACCTTTGCTAACGCATGAAAATCCATAAATTAGCCGCGTCATTGTTTAAGCAGCACGGTTCAAAGTGTGTGAAAAAAAGTGGCGGCTTATAGTCCGGAAATTACGGTATATTTCTGGGAGGCTTTTTAGTTAATTTTTAATGGAAAACATTTGTATCTTCCACTCTGACCTCCAGCACTCAGCTTTACATAATATGTTAATGGAGCAGGGCTGATAACAGAGGGCGCCGTGTCACTGGCTCAGGATCAGCTGATGTTTGCTGATCAGAGATCAGAGCGCCAGAGAAAGTCAGTTCACAGAAGAGTGGCAGAGGTCACCAGAGGTCACCGGAGTAGCGGTGAACTGAGGCTTTGAGTTAATGATATATACGTGTCTATGTATGTATGTATGTATATATATATATATGTATATATATATATATATATATATA